ATATTGGAGTTTGGATCACTGCTACCTGCCACTTCCGTGCCATAGCATCCTCCTTGAGACAATTAGCGATCGTAGTGCTATTAGCAGTTCTATCTAGTTTCAACTCGGTGGGCAAACATTGTCTGAGTTAAAACTGATCAGTCGCTAAGGGCTCAATAGGCAACGATGGGAAGACATACTCCGGTTGATACTCACCAACAACGGGTATTACCTCAAGGCCTCCCTCGCACGATCGTTTTCGGAGAGTCGTTGATAGCAACGTATAATGTGTTTAAGGAGACGAGATGACGGTGCCTCCGCTAGGGATTGAACCTGGGTGCTTCGATGTTTAACGACACAGTGTCGGCTGCTTTGCCAACTGATGCTCTACCATGTTGCCAAGGACCGTGCTAACAGCGTAGAAGCGTTCGGCAGTAGCGCAGATGTACTGCAGTCCGTTGTCATCGAGTAATATCTTCTGTATGATGAACGTGGCCACAGTCTGAGGCTCATCGCGATGTAATTTGGAAATTGCAAATCGGGGCCATGAGCACCGACCCTCCCCTACTACCCTGGACAGTTCTGATCCAGTCTCCATTATACGAAGGCACAGGGGGATGATTTCGGTTTGAAGTAGGAATTGTACGACCTAAAATGATGCAGCATCGGATAGAACCCACGTCCTTTCGCTACACCACCTGCTCGTCATCCACCTTAACTAAAGCACCGATAACTCCCAAACTCGTCAAGCGGAGATACTCAAATGGGCGAACCTTGGATACGGTATTCAGGAAGGGGTATCTGTCGATCCATACCACACCAACTTGAACACCATCCATTATTACAAGAACAGTGGAATGTGGGCCTGCAGGAAGGGCTTCCTAGTTTCTGGATGACTAGCCAAGCACTGCAGCAGTGCTAGGGCATTGCATGCTCTGTTCGAAACTGCCGCCGACAGATTGGGTGGGCTCAAACAAGGGTAGACCGCTAACAGCTCCTGAAGTGATACTAATTACGACCATTGAGCTGATGATAGGACCTGTAATAGCGCGGCAACAGTGCCAAAGGAATACCAAAGTATAGGGGCTAGGTCAGGGAAGGATTCCCTTCTCTTGGACAACTCAAGTAAGGCTTGTTCCCGCTTCTCAGGAATGGTCAAATCCAACACTAACACGATGAGCTACTCCCCGAAGTGGCTTCAACCAACCGGCTAATACCAAGTAAATAGATCTTCTGTTTTTCAGCCTGAGTCGCCGCCGCAGCCACAGCGTTGGCCTGAAATGCATCGACACCATCATCACATCCATGAGGTTAGCATTACTCTGTCAGCTTGTAACATCGCTGATGGGATCCCTACTACTGGTCCCCCTCGAGTTGGTGAATCCATTGTCATGGAGGAAAGTTACTTATCGAGTGAGGATTAGCCCCTTTTCCTGCTGAGCTATCTTCGCAATTTCGAAGCTTTTTAGAGTGGAAATTATATTTTACACGAAGTGTGGTAGAATTTGAACATGGCTAACCTCATGTGTTGGTGACAATATGAAAACTCTGAGGAAATTTCGGAGAAATTTTTTTTAGTTTTTGTACACATCTATGTAGTATACTCTCCCAATTCGTATATATAAACTCCTATAACTAGTGAGGATGGTCTTGAGCTCAGCAGTGATGAAAGTGAATATTCTTGTAACAGCAGTGTATACAAGTTTGCAATCGTAGATTCTACACGCAATGGGTGACACGTTAACCAACTGTAACTAGCCTTAACAGGAAAAGGAGGAAGGAGGGAGAGAGCACTAGTCTGAGGGCAGCACTGACGTAGACTGTTTCCATCCAACAGATCAAGGAAAAACTCCAATTTTTAAAACGTTTCTTCAACCATAAATGGCTTGACATCTTGCAATCTTGCATTTCCTCAACGGTTGCTGTGTAGGAGCGATATAGATCTTGTACGATGGGTCACAAAAGAGCACTTGAGCAACGCTCCTCTTTTGATGAAAGTCCTCTTTTGTAGTGTTCAGCTAGAACTAGGGATATAGTTTTTTGAAGACAGGGCGGATGCTCATTCAAAATAGCAGTAATTCTCATCATAAGCGCACCAACGTACGATACAGTCTATTAAGATTTTCATTAGCGCATCGGGATGTTATTTATCAGCTTTGACTAAGTGATAGTAGTTGCGCTGGACTTGCACACCTGTTTTGTTGAATCATTCAAACTGTAGCAATGCATGAATTGGCAATCTCTTGTTGAGGAGTATATTCTGCGTAAGTACATCATCACATTATGACCGATCAAACTCCGCTCCCATCGGCGCCTGACGCCACCAACAACAACAACCCAGCACCTCATAAGAGGCGTAGTCCCAACAGGTAGTACCACAGTAGTACGTCTTCCTACACATGCTGGTATGGTCAGACTGATTGTTGAGGAGGCCGTAAATGATGACAACTCTGTTGTGTGCATATCCACGGCTAAGATGGAGGAGCTCGGCTTCTTCCGTGGTGACAATGTCCTTATCAAAGGTAACTACTATTTTCGTCCCGTTAGGTTACCTCATATGCAGGTAAGAAGCGCAAGGACACCGTGTGCATCGTCATGAGTGATGCCGATCTGGACGACCAGAAGGTCCGCATGAACAAGGTGACTAGGGTGGCAAGGTTTTGTATTGTTCATCGTATTCCCACAGGTCGTTCGTAAGAATCTAAAGGTCCGCCTTGGTGATATTGTTGGTGTTTATGCGGCTGGAGACGTCCCCTATGGCAAACGAATTCACGTCTTGCCGTTTGATGATACCATTGAGGGTATCACTGGTAACCTCTTCGACACGTAGGGTCAATATTTGGGCCTGTTTTGAATCTTGCACACTTGAACCTTAGATACCTCAAGCCCTATTTCCAAGAGGCTTATCGTCCCGTTCGACAAGGCGACTACTTCCTGGTACGTGGGGGGTTCCGACCAGTAGAATTCAAAGTTGTTGGCGTTGACCCCGGCGAGTACTGCATCGTGGCGCCCGACACTGTGATTCACTGTGAAGGGGAGCCCATCCATCGTGAAGACGAGGAGCGTTTGGACGATGTTGGCTATGATGATATTGGAGGCTGCAGAAAGCAAATGGCTCAAATACGGTATTTTCATCAGAAGTAACTGCGATCCTCTTGAGGCCAATTTTGTTCAGAGAGATGATCGAGTTGCCCCTGCGTCATCCCCAATTGTTTAAGACTCTCGGAGTGAAGCCTCCTCGAGGAGTGCTCCTATACGGTCCTCCAGGATGCGGCAAGACTCTTATCGCACGAGCCATCGCGAATGAAACTGTAGCCACATTGTGGGTATTCCTTGGAGTTGATACTTGATCGTTGTGGTCAGGGAGCGTTTTTCTTTCTGATCAACGGGCCTGAGGTTATGAGTAAAATGGCGGGAGAGGCGGAATCGAATTTGAGGAAGGCCTTTGAGGAGGTGTCACCAGTCACCACGTGTTGGCTACTGTTGACGATTCTCTTCAGGCTGAGAAGAACGCCCCTGCGATCATTTTCATTGATGAGATAGACTCGATCGCCCCGAAGCGCGACAAG